AAGTGATACATAAAGAATTTTAAAATGCGATTTTTTATTAACAAATTAAATTTAAAAAATGAATAAATATAAGTAATTGAATTAAAATACTCAAAACAGATGAAATTAAAATAGAAATCAAGTTTTCAAATAGATTAGAAACTTAATGAAAAAAATATTCTTTAGAAAAAATATTTATTCACAAATTAAAAAAGACATTAACTGAAAAAAAAAAGATAAAAATAGTAAGCGACTTTATATAATTTTTAATTTGTATGAATAGTATAACAAAAAAACTAAACTAAAACGGCACTTACGAGCACTTATCACAGCATATCATATAGCCATCGTCGTGCGTCAAATCACAGATACAACGCGTCACCGAATCATCTTCAGCTTCGGCTTCGGGTGCAGTCTCGGTTTCTTCGCCAGGATCAATATCGCCGATAGCAATACGCGAACCGTTACTGATGGCCGAATGAGCATCGTCATCCTGTTGCATGCGGGGTACTGCGGGGTAAAGAGAAAAGTTTAATTAATTTTAATGGAAAATGTAAAATAATTTGAAGCTCTAGAGAGTAATTTACAATGAATAATAATAACTTTATTAATGCGCTCGTGCTACTCACTTTGTTGTCCGTGCAAAGTATATGTCGATTGACCGCTTGATGGCGGCGTGGGCAGCATATTGCCTAGGCCCGTTTGTCCTGCCGCCGCCACAGTAGCACCAATGCCGCCCAGTGACCATTGCTGACTGCCGCCGGCCGAATTGGCGGCCAGTGCCGATTGTAGCTGCGACTGCGACGCAGCACCTGCCAACATTGTACTATTCGATGTGACCCCCACTTTGCTCGTGTGGGCGACACTGCTAGCCGCTTGCGCACCACCAACGCTCTTTGCGGACTCTGCAGCCGAGAGATGCGTGGGCATGGCATTGGCGTAGGTGTGATCCTGCTGTACGGCATGCAAGATGCGCAAACGCAGATCTTGCGTGTTCACTGGTGTCGGTCGCACCTCTTCACCAATGATATCTTCGTCATCAGTGGCTGCATTAGTGTTGACAGCTGAGGCTGCACTATTTGTGGCGATAGTGTAGCTGCTATTCGCCAGTGTCGCATTGGTGGCTGCTAGCGATGTCTTCAGTGTTTGCAGGTGTATTATTTGCGCTGACGAATGTTGCTGTTGTTGTTGTGTATCAAGCGGTATATTCGATATGCTTGTCGATAACGCATGTGCACCCTGTGTGCTACCATGATGATGACCGCGTGCGCCCGCGCCGCTACTACTGCTATTGGATTTGTAGTAATCCGCGGCGGATTTGCGTGTGATTGTTGTGTTGGCCTCATATGACTTGTTGCGCTCCAAAGAGTGTGTACGACTGCCGGGTGCGCTATGCGTTTGACGTCCGATATTGGGGGCGCCGGATGTGGACATTGTTGCGTAAACGGCGCCGCCATTGGTTGCCGAAGCTGACAAGTAAGTGGTGGCTGCTGAGGCAGGAGTCTGATGCTGCACTGGATTCGTGTATTGTGTGCTAATGTTAGGAGATGCAGACATTTGCTGTTGTTGCACCGTGCTGCCGTGTTGGTTCGGCTGTTGGGCAGACAATTGGTTACCGCTATATAGGGGATATTCTTTGGGGGAGAGCAACACTGACGTCGGTGAAGTATGTTGTATCACAATTTGCTGTTGCTGTTGCTGCGGGGGTGGTGGCATTGCGGCGACCTTTGTTTGATGTTGCTGCTGCTGATAGCGTTGTTGGTTGCTGAAAGATTTTTGGGCCATGCTTTGCAGTATGCGTGCGGACACCTCGTCTGTCATGGGCGTGCCATTGACGACCATTATATCATCGTTTATCAACGTTTGTGCGCCGGCGTTGCTGTTGTTATTGGCAGCTTGCGTTTGCTGTTGCTGCTGGTAAATAGTATTACTGCTGTTGTTTTCCTTAACAATGTTTGTTGTTGTTGGTGCATCGACAAATTGCAATTGCTGCTGCTGCGCATGCTGACGCAATGTCACTTTAGTCTGTTGCTGTTGCTGCTGTATGGGCAATGTTTGCGTCTGATGTTGCTGTATTACCGTGGCATGTGTGGAATTTACAAATTTTATTGTATTATTAGAGTTGTTGGCAACACTTCCACTGCCGCTATTTCCAGCGCCCGCTGCGAGTGTGACCACATTATTGCTGCCGGTCGAGAATTGATGCTGCTGCGTTTGTTGTTGTTGTTGTGGCAAGGTTTTGTGATGCAGATGTGTGCCTTGTGGCAAAGTTGTGACGTGTTGCAGCTGCGTTTGGTGCGTAGCATATTTGCCGCCGGCCATTTTAGTCACTTTTGTTGTGGTCGGTTGCAGTTTGTGGCCACCGCTGCTGTTGCTTATGGTGTAGGTGCCCAGTGATTGCTGCTGCATCATATTGACGCCGCTACTGGCATTGCTGTTATTGTTAATAACATTATTGAATTGTTTGAGCAACTTGGACGTTTTCACTTTAGCGCCACTCTGGTATTGCGGCTGATGCAATTGGTACTGTTGTTGCTGCTGCTGTGTTATATAGGTAGTCTTGACACCCGGTGTCTGCTGCATTTGGAGATTGTTCAAAACTTTGCTATTACCATGCGTCACCTTCAAGCTATTCGTCTTCTTCAACATGTTGCCACCGTTGCCGGCAACGCTGACACTTTTCGTTGTTGCACTGCTGCTCAAATACTTTTGCGCACCCACAACAGGTTGCACCAACATCTGTGTATGTTGTTGCTGCTGCTGCTGTGATTGCTGTTGTTGACCTGGGTTTGTTGTCATCGATGTACCAGAAGCCGTTGGCTGTTGCACAACACGTGTCACCATCTGTACGTGGCGCGGCACAGACAGCTTTTGATACAATTGCTGCGTCTGCTGCGCTCCCTGTGAAGTGTTTTGCCCCGTCGACTGCTGCGGCTGTTGTATATATGTTGTGGAGTTCAACTGTTGCTGCTGCTGCTTTACACCTGTCTTATATGTGCCTGTAACGGTATATTTTGGCGTCTTACCACCGCCAGTGGTAATTGGTGCGGCCGCAGCTGCTGCTGTGGTTAAATATGACAAGTTTTTGGTGCTCATATAATTTATAGTTTGTGCCTGTTGTGCTTGACTCCCGCTACTAACACTTATGGTGTGTTGCTGTTGCTGCGTGGATAAGCCACCACCTGCGCCAACGCTCAGCGTCGATGTTGCCGTTGTGCCTGGCGTGTTGGGTGACGGCTTGGCCAAAACGGTTAAATTGCTAAGCAGCACTTTCGATTGACCACCGCCACCGACAGCTGTAGCGCTGCCACCATCGATTATCATGTTGCCGGTTGTGCCATCTGTAGTAACGATTTTGAAGATTTGTGGGTTTAGCACCTCACCGGTTGTGGTCGATATCATCATATTGGTGGCACCCGAAGCAGCCGCTTGCTCAATAAATTCTTCGCTTACTTGTATCACCTGCTGCTGCTGCTGTGGCTGCGTTTGTTGCTGCGATTTTTGCTGTTGTGTATGCATTTGTTGTGACAGCTGATGTTGCTTTTGCACATGTTGCTGTTGCTGCTTAGGCTGGCTAGACTGCAGCTGTGTGGCCAGCTGTTGTGACTGCTGTTGATGAATTTGTTGTTGCTGCTGCTGCTGGATTGTGGTATGCTGTATAAGTTGGTGTTGTTGTTGATTCATCTGTATTGTTTGTGGTTGTTGCTGCTGCTGCTTTACATTAATGTGTTTGATTCTCGTATTCGTTGCTCCTCCCGTTGTTGCTGTAGTCGTTATAGTATTGTTGCACTTATTAATAGTATTATTGCTGTTACTGCTACTGCGCTGCACTGCACGTCGCATTAGTGGCAACTGTGTTTGGCTTCTACTACTACTGTTGCTGTTGCTGCCAGCAACATTATGTTGTAGCTGTTTCTGTTGTTGTTGTTGTTGTTGCGGCTGTCGCACATCATTCGCACCATAATATTCGTAATATTTTCCAATGGTTGTTGTTGCTGACTTTGCTGTTGTAGTAGTCTGTTTTGTTTGATAAAATTGTGGCTGCGACTGTTGCGTGGCTAACTTTGATGTCGCCGCTACCACGCCGCTTGTTGCCCCGCTGCCTGATTGTGTTGTCACTGCTGTTGTTGGCTTCTCTACGACAATTATACCAGACGAGTGCAATGGCATCATTCGCTAAGCAATGTTACAACTATTGTTTTGGTTTTATGAATGCGTCTGGCATCAGAGCTTGCAACAAATACTTGAAACTTCCAAAAAAAAACTTATCAAAAAAAGTAGTAATGTTTAATTTTAACGCGCAATTCAAGGCAAATATTATTTATTGTAAACGATTTTTGTTTGTGTTCAATACACCTTAATTATTCTTCAAAATAATGGATTCTGCTAATAGAGCATGTATTCAAATTTAGACTTCTGCGCTTTCGAAATTCGCTCACTTAACTATTATCATTATTTAAACCAGGCGCTAATCCTACCGATGCTGTTGGAGGCGGTCCCCCACCCACATGGGGGCTTAATGCGCAACAAAGTGTTAGGTGTTTACTATTGATGTAATCCTTGTAGTGACTGGTGGTGGTTGTTCCAATTAGTTGAAAAGCTTTATAGAAGGTGTTTGAAATTGCTTTTGTTGCTGCTTCTAGATGTGCTGATACGATTGTTGTGGTTAGACAAACGTTTTTGGCTTCGTAGTTGCGGGAATATCTATTTTTTCTGAACATTACATTGTAAGCCATTACATCAGGGGACATCACTGAATTGCTGTTTGCTCTCAATTAAAAACACAGTGCACTTTTACACCTAGCGTTCGGCTCTAACACTGCAAATTATTTAATAATCAATTTAGGTATGTAGCTACCAAGTAAATGCGACAACTGTTGCTAGATTTTAGCAAATTTCGATTTGTCGCGAGTGGGTTTAATTTTCCGTGGAATTTTGTATTTAAAAAGAAAACGTCACACAACCAAGTCCTTTCGAACGTAACCTGCGTTATTTAAGTTGTGATTGCGTTCGCGTTTTGAATTCCGATTCCGTTTACGCTTCCTTGGTTTGCGGTTGAAGCGTCGTTTTATTTTTGGCGATTCCACTGTCGTTATTTTCAGTGCCAAACTATGCAGTTCACTTAATTTACCTTCTAGACTAGTAAAATTAATTCACTTATATCGTTTTAGGAATATTTTCGGTTTTACTCGTTGTATGTTTATTATGTTGCTGATTAACTGTAAGTAAAGAAAGAAAAAAAGTAAAGTGAAGAAAAAATTAATATATGTACATATATATAAAAACCTATTTATAATATAAAAAAAAAATTTAATAGTACGAGATTTTTATTTTTTCTTACAGACATACCACACCATACACGTCAACTCACGTCAAAATATGTTATACATAATGAACGAAACGATAAAGAGTTGATAGAGCAAGATTATTGGCATGTTTAAACATTAAAGTCCCCAATAAACTAAAAGAAAATTGCTTACATATTTAATTGGAGACCATTTTAAGGTTTTTTTTGGGAAGTTAAAAAACTATAAAAAAAATATATCTAAACGAAAGAGCTTGGCTAAAAACTAGGCAGAAATGTCAGTAGGAAAAAGAACGTAAGAAGTACTCAATTGTGTACGTACCTAACTACAAATACATGCAGGTAGGTATACATGAAGTAGATTGTGATATAGAAGAAGCGAAATGGTAGCTAAAAGCAACAATATAAACTTGTCTAAAACGAAGAAGACAATAATAATAAATAACGCAGATTGCCAAGTGTCAAGAAAGCCTGAAAAACAACAGTGAAATGCCACGAATATCGGGCGAAAAACAGTGCAAGTAAAGAAGTAAGAAGCAAAACAAAATACACACAATTTTATTGATTACATTAAGATATGGCTGCCAAAGCGATGTGGCGCTGGAAAAAGTATAGTTGAGAATGAGGCAGATAGTGTGCACCGCCATTGGTATAAAGATAAAAGAAAATATAAAACCAAAGAAATTCAAAATATAAAATAAGCAAATATATGATAACAGGTATAAATATGCAGTGGAAGACAATAAAAAAGTAGAATGCATAATTATAATAGGTATGCCTAGAAAAAAAGATAAAACAACATAAAATTATGGAGCGCATATTGAGATTTATTACGTTGTATACCACATATAGTTGCACCGTGTATGCACAGAAATTCATTACAACTACGCCTGTTACATAACACCTTCAGTAAGATAGGCAATTAACCGAGTTGCACCATTCACTGACAGTCAAAGCAATATAAGAAGTTTTCGGAGAGGGGAAGAAGTATGTACATACATATGTTGCGGTTTAAGAAGCTAATATATTTGTTGGAAAACTAAAAATGGATGGGCTAAATACTTTTCCCCTAAAACCCCTAAAAAACTAACAAATATGTATATCGATTTAAATGGCCCAGAAACTTGATAATTAGTATTAATATTCAATGTGAAATCAATATACATCCATATAACAAGAATGTAATTTCGGTAATAACTACATAATAATACATATACATACATACAGATGTACATATAAGGTAATGAAAATAAAATCCAAAAAAAAAAAAACAAACAGATATAGCAAAATATCTAGCCATGTATTCAGGCTTTCTTTCTTTCTTACTTTATTTGATTTATGATTTTTTTTTTTTTTTTGCGAATAAACGTAAGAAGAACACACCTTTTCACCTTATATGCGCTCGATAAGACAAGCCTTCATATCTGCAGCTAAACGCAACGCAAGAAAACAGTCTTATGGGTGGGTGGTTGGCGTATGCTCCAGCAATAGCAACAAAAATTTCAAGACAACTATGACAGTTTGAAAAATTTTTTTATATAAATTTTTTAATGCATGTGTAATTAAAGAAGGGGAACGTTATATACCAATACGTTTATTGGTAGATAATTATACACAAATTATATATACAAATAACGTAAGAATTAATATTATTTAGGACAACCTTATGGGTTACGTGATACAGACCAAATACGATAACAATAAGAAATCAATATGATTTGAATTATATTATATACGTACATTCACAGACCTGCTATTTATCAATTTTCACTATACATAAATATATTAAAACCAGTAATTATAATTTCCACATTTGCACAACGAAGGTTTAGGCCTATTCAAGCAGACATATAAGTATGGACATTTAGTAAAAGCGACCAAAATCAAACAAGAAGCTGTGCAAAATAATGATATATAAATAAAAATATTTTTTTGCAGGCAATCAACAACTAAACAACAAATAAATAATATTATATTAACAGCTGGCAAGCCTTCACAACCAGCTAGTTTGCCCAGCCACAGGCCCAGTCAGTTTGCTGCACTTGCCAACAAAGCTATTATGGCGTTTTGTTTACTTTGCAAATAACATATACGGCTATTGCAACACAACGTCAGCGGCTGCCGTCTTCTCATTTCGATCCATCGATGCAATGTTGTTCGTTCACCTCTTTGGCCCACTCCCTCAACACCATTCACCGCCGTCGTAGTAAATAGTGAATGACTAAAAACCAGCAAAAATGCATACAAATGCTAGTGAATATGTGTGTATGTGCATCAAATGCAGACATTTTTCTTTGCACTGTTTCTGTTTCCCATTCTTTTCTTTCTTGTGTCAAATGTTTGCTTTGCTGCCACACAGATTCTTTTTCATTTATATGCAATTCTATTCACATACTACAATTACCCATTATATTATTCAATGATGGCCGGTAGCTCGTTAGTTTCACCGCCACTATATTGGTAGCGAGTTTTTTTTTTTGGCAAAAACATAAATTTTACGTATCACAACTAGATAGCGCTCTCTCCTCATCTTGGTTTAATGAATTTTTGCAAAAGTAATTTTTTTTTATGCAGCAATAAAAATTTATTTTTAAACTTTCGTTGCATATAATGAAAAAATGGATACACAAAAAGTGATACGACAAATTTCAATACCTAAAAATATCAAATTAGACACTGCTATAACACAACGAATGGTTTGTCTCCAACGAATTGTGTGTATTTCAATGGGCTTATGAGAAATTCTCATTTTTAAGGTTCAATTGCATAGTTCAGACTGCTGTCAAATCGAAACTTTAACACTAAGCTATATTCAATATCATGTAATATACATCTAGCACCTACACAAATATTACTAAATCTTTGAATGAATAATTCATAAAGCATGAGAGATGTGGATTTAGTATATATGTATGTGTAGTGGATTATAACAATTAAATTTATTTAAACTAAGTACGCACGCATACATGAGCATATTTATGTATGTATATGCATATATTTGACCAAGGTCTACATCTCACCTTGATCTAGTGTAATCTGTATTAGGGCACGCATTCTTCCCATGCTATTCTTAGTGAACTTCATAAAATGCTTTGTTCAAAATATGTGTTCCCAATTAATTTGTGTATAAGCGCAAAGCTTATTTATACACACAAATAGTTTTAAAAATTTTGATGAACAAACATGTATGTAGGAGCACAAAATATGAACCATTTATGAAAAACATACTTTTATCAAAAAGTCATATTAGATTATATCATTATATATATAATGCCTAAGAATTTGTGCTGTCTTCTTAGTGCTAAACACAGTTTGTTATCTCAAAAATATTTACGGTGTTAAAAGATATTAAAATTGATTAATTGTAATTTATCACGATCAGTAAAATCGAAAACTGTTAAGCTTAGATTAGTACATGCACACATCCAAGTATTTATTTATACCAATCAAAGGTTCCGCATAATTTTAAAGAAGCGTAGCAAATCCGAATGATTAATAACTGGTGAGTGAAAAGGGTGCTCATAGCATAGACATACAACTATATTTATGAAAACACAACAAAATGCACTGCTTTCGCTAGTCAGCTTAGAAATAATATTGTATGTGAAATTCAACTAAAAACTACGTCCAAATTATTTTTTATTCAATTAGTTGAATGGGTATGCAGCATAAGTACACATTACATATATGTATGTATATGTAAATACATATGCATATACAATTTAGATTTAGACAGGAAATGGAGCGACAGATATGATTCGCAGCACAGCACATATATTGTATGTGTACCAAACATTCTAATAATGTTTTCACAAGTAGAATAATAAATGTAGTATATTCCTACAAAACGGTATGGCCTATGTAAAACGAACCTTTAACCCCTACATATACAAATAGAATGAATTATTTATGTTAATTACATTTTGTTGTATGTCTCTGATTTCTTTAGCCTCTTGATTGCCTTATACCACCTTTTTGTATACATTTGTACGTATGTATATGTATTAATTCAAAAATAAGTTTGTTAAAATAATCGTGCCGATGATGCGTAAAATCGTTGCAGTAGGTGTCTAATGTAGAAATAATATAAAATTCAAAACAATTGTAAAAATTTATTTTAAAAAAATGTTATTCACATTCTGCAGCTATACAAAATTTACTTATACATTATGCCACTGTAGCTAATTTCGTTCAAGGGAAATTATTTAACAAATATTTTTAAACGTCTTCATATACATTTATGTTTTGCCGAAAATGTCAAAAGTGTGAACGAATTGATATACCACAAAACTTGTATAAAATATAAATACATATTTTTACAATTTTTAGAACTACATATATTGCATATAACAATTTATTGCATATATTTTTCAACACATAATATGCAGCATAAGTAAAAAATAATAATTATCTCAAAACTTCGTTGGCGGGTATATTGGTAAAATTTCGCAATATTTAGTTAATACATTTTTTACGAATATTCTACATATGGCATACAGAACTCGTTTTTCAACTTTTGCTTTCGTTGCACCATCAAGAAAGAACCAAGCAGAAGAGAACAGCAGAAAAATACTATGTATAAAAGAAAAATAATAAATAAAATAATGGATGACAAGGATAACTAATACATTTATTTGCGTAAACGGCGAGATAAGGCTGAGAGTTCTAACTGAAAACTGCAGCCAACTTCAAGCAGTATACGACAGAAAGGGAATATGGTATAAAATACGCTCAAACGACGAAGAAAAGCAAAACAAAGGCAAATCGGGCATACGAATGTATGCGAAGCAAACGTAGTCAAAACACAGCCACATTGAGACTAGTAGTAGACTGTTTATTCGCTCATACACAATTGAGCGAACATCTAGCTATCGCAAATTTCAATATGGCGCACTATAGCGAGTAAAATGAACGAACGAGCTAAGAATGAAAACACTGAAATTCTACGTCGTAGGAAATAGACTTTGCCTAATAAAAAAAAAAATGCCAAGCTATCTAGCTTGAAAAGTTTGATGATGTAACAGATTTATTAAACTAGCTCTTTGTTTACTAATATGATTGTGGGTTAATAAAGTAATACAAAAATAATTAAAATGTCTCTACACTTTCTAGAAACAACGAGATGGGAGAGGAATAGTAGGAGGGTTTTCGTATAACCATATCTAATCTGAACATAGAACATTGTAATTTTCCAGAAGTTTTGTTGTATTTAATTTTGTTTAAACTAAAAATTTGTAGCAATTAACTGCAAAATAATAAATGTATTTAAAGAAAAAAAAAAAATAAAATCACATCGAAATTAGCTCCAATTGTTCGCACTTTCTCATATTAGCAGTGGGTCACTCGCGCAAATGTGTACCCACTAACAACGTTTTCCTCGATATTAATTTTAAAGCGCTGCCACAAATCAAATTAAATTTAGTAAACCACATAGTTTTATATTTTAATTTGTATCATTGCTCATTTATACATACGTAATGTATACACATACAAATCTTATTAATTGCACGGAAATAGCACATTTTTATATACAATAGTTTCCTATTGCAGTAGAAAATTATACTCACATTTTTTTAAATAAAACACAATATTTATACTAAGGACAAAACGTTTTGCCAATTAGTACTCATTTCATTATATTAATTCACAATTTTCCAAAAATCTTGCCTTAATATGGCAGTTTGAGCTAGCTTATTTCTTTCGAAGTGCTCTGCTGAAATTTTTCAACTTTTGCTTTTGACAATTGCGTTCACAGCCAACTTAACCAGCTATAAAAGAGTATACACCGAAAACCTTACAACAAGCAATCTAGCTGGTATGTTTATACAAGTGTAATAAGAACAATATTTTGTATTTACAAATGCATATTTCGTCAATAATGTTAAAAAGAGATGAGCTTATTGAGCCGCACTAAATTCTAGGCTTTAAACAACTTGTGTGATAGAAACAAAATCCGACGCCATTTTTTAAAATTCTTATGAGAAAGAGATGGCTATAAGCAGCTAAAAAAGACAGGAGAAACGTATAACAACGAATACAAATTAAAAATGGCTACCCATTAAAAAAACCACTCGATATTTCAAACGTTTTCAGACAAGAGCGCGCACTTTTTACAAAGGAATAATATCGATAGTTATAAATACCTCATTTAAACTAAATTTGCATTTTAAAATTGATGATCCAAAAAATCATATACAAGTTTTCTCATGAATTTAGAACATACAATGCAAATCAACATTGTTATATGCTGATGGACGAATACATAATTTTGTTTCTGTACGTATGGCAGCAAAATTGTGGTATACCATGATCTTTGAAATTGGAACAAAATTGTAAATAATTTTTTTTCGTAAAAATTCTTATAAACGAAATTAAGGAAAAATCAATGTTTTATATGCATCTATTTGTTTTATATATGATAATACAAATAGGAATCAACTTACCTTAATATGCATTTTCGATCTAGGTTTAAATTTCAGTTCATTTACAAAAACATTTTCAATGAAATCAAGTCACATTCTATATAATATGAACTTTTACACAGTTCATTATTCAATTCACAATATGACTTTTAGTTAATTTAATAATTTGGAAATTCCGCAATGCACTTGTAAACTGATTTATTTTTAAACAATTTTTTTTCATTAAAAATATTATTTTTTAATATAAACAAACCATTTCTTACAAATGAATACCTATGATATACAAAAGCACTACTTTTACCAGTAATATTTAAAAATTACATTAAGTATTAAAACTTGATATTTAATTGTTTCGCCATTGCAAATATATGTAAAAGGGAGAAATTTGTAGTTGGCGCAACGTCAATACAATAGTGGCGAGGTGCTCGCAATCAATTCATGTTTAATATATTGTAATGTTCACCGAATAGCCAAAACCACGATGGAACAAAAGCATTAGCATATTTTGAGATTTTTCTCTTTCTGGCGTTTGTACTTTTTTCTTCATTAAAATAGCACCCTATACTGCTTGCAATTTTAAATGTTCAAAGCATTCTACGTGAGCCCTGTATATCCCTCAGTTCAAATGCTATATACATTTATATTTTATATGTAGCATAAATGTTCATATAGATATATACATATGAAAGACATCCAGTTGTCTCGTACACTCACAGAAAAATCCTATATTTGCGGATTCACACCTACATATGTGTGTATGGATGTACATCCGTTGCGACGTGCGCCTATACCCAAATGAAAATACCAATTGGATTTCAGTTTCAAGCAATCGTTTGTAGTATGTTAGATTTCCTAGTTTTCTAATTTTGGTATTTCTGTTATATATACGTGTGTACAAAATATATCAGATCATGATAGAGCTACAAAACTCAATGAAATCGACGATAATTGGCATAATTTTATTTCGCCATATTGAGTACTCTTTAATTAGAATTGAAAATCAACGTCAAGTTTTTAAAACGAATACATATATTCATCATATACATATTTATTTCTTTTAAAGCCTGTATTTTCTCTGTGCCTAATTCTAAGTACCCTCCGTTTCCGCACTCTATTTTAATAAGCAAAAACACAACACGATTTACTCGTTGCAGATCGGTTATTCGTTCGCATATTTTTCGTTCAATTTCCCTATTAGTTACTTTACTCTCTTACTTCCCTTTCTAAATGCAAAGAAAACTAAAAGATATTCTATATTTGCTTTTCGTGCTATTTAAAGATTTCAAACTTTTAAAAAATAGTTTGTTTAATTAAAGTTAACACACACCGTCACTTATTAGGGCTTCAAATAGGTTTTTCACTAATTATTAGTATTGGCGAATAAAGCGCGACTGGCTTTAATAGCGAGTTTCGCATAGAAAAATTTTTTAACCTCGAAATTACGTGTTTAAACCACGTATTTCTACATTATTTTTGTCATTTCGTAAAGCGCGCACTACTCACTTATTTTTTATCAATTTTTTATAATATTTTTTGAAGATTTTACCACAATTTTCCCACTTGGAAAATGTGTACAAGTTTTTCACGTCTACTCACGGCTGAACTTCACACAGAGAATTCAATAAATGGCGGCCACAGCGTTGAAACGCACGTTCGCTACTTCCAAATTCATACCTGACTACTACGCACGATTCTTTCACTCTATATTAATAGTTGCCATACTTTTTCGGTCACTCTAACATGCAATGTACACAACTCGTTGCAAGATAGTAAAGCATTGTCTCATAAATAGCATTTTCCAAAATATGGTACTTATTGCCTTCTCTTGCTTTCGGCGTTGCTCTAGGTGTACATCGTGGCATATTATGCTGTTTCACATTTATATGGTTGAAAAGGCTTTAGCGGTAGATAGATAGAATATACTATATATATATGAAGAAATAAATCAGAAATTCTACAATGACGCATTATGTTATTGTGCAATATTTTTGAGGCATGCAATTTCACGTATTTCTAAAAGCTGAAGCAATTTCAATAATCAGATAGATAAGCATATTTCAATTCAATGCATGCAAGTGAACAGTGCAATAAGTAATAAGTACTAAAAAGCTCTATACAACAAAATTAAAAAAATAATAATAATAATAAAAACCAAGTTTTTGTGTCAATAATATTGTACAATAGATATATTATTTTATATAACGGCTTTTGGTATAGCGGTTCTAACTTGAAATTTGTATTCGGAAACACGTGCAGTAGC